AAATTCTGGCTATTGGCTGGTGTCAAAGAGAGGATGTTGGGACAGACAGACAGATATACAGAACTAAACCCACTAACTTGTTTAATGCCTCGTCATAAACATCTAGCCCTCCACCAAAGCTTTGTACTCAGTGTTTGTAATCCTCAACCTTGCAGGCGAGTACGACGGTGTCCCTAAGCCACGGTCCCATGGCGATAAGCCTGTGATAACACGTCCCCCCGTGAGACCTCCAGACCCACCATGCAGGACTCCTGTCCCTCCGAGGCTGGAGCAGAGGCCGGATCTGATAGCAGGAACGGCAGAAGAGATGCCTTCATCCGTGTAAGTCAGCAGCCCTCGGTGGGCATGCGGTACCCGGGGCGGGCAGCTCGGCCTGAGGGAGCTGCCAGCACCCAGGGCCTTGGGGAGCGCGTGGGGGGACGAGGTCAGCCCGGGCGGCGGGAGCAGGAGCTGGTGTCACCTACCAGGGGTTTTGGAAGAGGAGGAGGAGAAATACCACATTGGTTTCCAGCACTGGTGGCGTACAATGGCTGGAGCCCGTGGACGTCCCCTTCGACACCGGTACAAGCGTGGTTTTGAACATCCCGTTGGAAAGCTGTGCAGAGGGCATGGCCTCGGAGGGGAGCGTGGCCATAGCAAAGGCAAACACACACAGGGAAAACAAAGCTCTGAACCTTCTCAAGTCCAGCTCTGGGGCTGAGCTTTGTCCCATCACCTTCTCTGCTATTTCTCGTGTCAGTGAGGCTGGAGAGCCCCTCCCTGCCTGGCTGTGAGCAAACCTCTCGAGTGAGGCACTTTCCAGGGAAGGACAAGATCCAGCTTGGATCTCTCTTAAGGACACTGGATGGAGTTCAGCTTCATCATCAGATTTCTTTCAGATTTTAAAGAGACAGAAACCCTGCTGGCTTCAATGGGAATTAGAAAAAGAAAAAAGGGTGACTAGATACACGGGGATCTCAGCCCAGCAGCCAGGGCTGGTTTGGTGCAGAGGCTGTAACCTGGGTGCTGCCACAGAGCTCGCTGCTGCTGCACGTCCAGCAAAGACGTGCGTTTTGTTCCCCTGCCATCCTCGCGGGCAGCACCCCAGGTCTGCGCTAACGCCCTCACCTCACCGCGCCGCAGCCCTGGGGTGTGCGGGGGCCGCCCCCCGGGGCCTCACCCTGCCCCTAATCACACAAGGTGCAAAAACATTTGTCATGAACTGACACACCTCTGAACCGTGGAAGCCACGCAGCCTGCGAGTGACGATCTCCCGCAGCGGTCCTGGGGGAAACGCCTGCCGTGGGAGAGCTCCCGAGCTCGCTCTGCGCTGGCCCCCGCGCTCTGCGGAGAGCCCCCAGCAAAGCCGCGCTGTGCAGTGATCCACGTCCTGCACGTTCGCTCCGGCGTCCAGCGAAGGCGCCGTGAGGTTCAGCTCCGCACCTGCAGGGCAGGAACAGGCCTTGCCTTTGCTCTCCTGAGTCACTTGTTAGAACTTGTCTTCCTGTGAGGACATTTGGAAGCTAAACACGAAGCACATAAAAACTGAAGGAGAGGCCATAAAAAGTGATGGATGCAGGTTTATAAACCAGCAAGTAGGTTTGTAGGTACAAACCAGATTATAAGCAAGAGCATGGCAATAAGCAGTCTAGCCAAAAGCGATCGAGGGCTGCCTGGCCAGGGCAGTGTGAGGGCAGAGGGGAACAGAGCTGGCAGCATGAGGAGCACGGCTGCTGCCTCAGCAGAAAAGACATTGTTCAAAGGTGATCGTCTTCAATGTCTGCTAATGCTACTGCTCTTTTCCCTGACACAGACGAGATCTAATTGGCAAATTGCCTTTTTGGATAACTGGAGTGACCTCTCTTGTTCTCTTTGCAGGGTGGCCTCTAGGACAAAGTTCTTTGAGACAGCTTCCCGAAGAACAAGCAAGTAAGCCTGGCACTGAAACGCTGGCATGTGAATAAAAGCAGCCCTGCCGCGTGGGGTGCTCCCGCTGAGGCAGAGCGAGTCAGCTCGGCAAGCCCCAGCCCCGACCTTTCTTGCCTCCTACTGGTGGGCAGAAGATGGGTCTCAGCTAAAGTGCTGGACCTAAACAAAGAGCACAAAGTGTAAAACGTGAAGCCAGATACAGACTTGATAAGTTAAATATAAATCTACTAAGTAATAAACGTATCTATGGATTCCTTTTATCACATGCGTGGATCTAAGTCAGCGTAGTGCACGTTGTACTCACTTCTCAGCCTTTGTGAAGAGCAGAGATAAGATCGTGGGAGAGATGAGGAGGGCTGGTTAGATCGCAGCAGGTGATCGGAGGTGCGAGACCAGAGAGCGGAAGGTCCTACACACACTGTATGTGCAGGCGTAGCTCCACCGCAGAGGTACGGTGTGATGGGGTGATCGCTTGGGCACCGAAGCCTTCGGGCTAGGCTGGGATGGCAGGGCTTTGAATTGCCAGCACCGTGGTTTGCGGCAGCCGATTTCATTTGTAATAACATGGCTCAAATAAGCTTCAGCTTCCTGCTTTTAAAGATCACCAACCTCTGCCAAAAGTGTGAGCAGGTTTGCATGTAAGTGGTAAACGTTGTCTGTTAGTGTTGACAGTGAGTTCACTTGTTAATATTGAAAAACATCCCTGACCTGACTGTTACCCAACCCTCCATTTAGGTTTGTGGATCTGCGTTTGAGCTTCTTATTGCATTAATTTTTTTCTGTATTCTTCTACTTTCTTATATACAGTTCTTCATCGCCACAAGGCAGGATCCCAGGTGATGAGAGCTGAGGCTAAAGGTATGTGTTTATGACAGTAAATCAAATAATAAACCAAAAGCACGCATGTAACACAAATTCAGCATTTATGGGGTGGTGGGAATCCAGTGGAGGCAATGGGGATCTCAAAAGAAAGATCAGGAGAAATGTCCTTCCTGTAGGAGACCCTCGCAGAAGGGAAGATAATGACTGGAGGTGGTGCCTGCTCTTCGCTGGGGGGTGGAGTGGCGGGGTGGGGTACCTCAGCCTGCTCTGCCCTTCCTGGGCCTCCTCGCTGCAGCGCTCAGGGAAACGTGAGCGCTATGCGAACGGCGGTGCCGACATCCGGGCTTGCTCTGGTTGCGGTTTTGCCATCGCTAATGAATTGACACTGCTGCATAGACCATGCTTGTTTTCTTCTTCCAGAGTTCGTAACCACCTCAGCCCAGACAGACCCAGGAGATTTTCTGTGCTTGTGAAACGGACATGTCACAGCTAAGACTTTTCCAGTTCCAGTGCCCCTGGAGAGCAGCTATCTTACCGGACGATAATTTCAGAGCATGCTGTCATAAGTGGCTCAAGAAATTAGAAGAAAAGGAGATAACGATGGAGAGACGACCCTACCCAGACGTTTGTGTTGAACTGTTCCCAGTCCTTCCGCCACTCCTCTCTGCGCAGGCTGTGAGGGATGCCCGCGTGTGGCCTTGCAGGTGACCGGCAGCGTTTGCAGGGCTGGGTGAGTGCCGGCAGCGCTGGGCAGAGCCATCCAGCCAACGGGCTGTGGAAGGGACAGCAGAGGACGGGAGTGGCCATTTACCTGCCCACTTTTTGGGAAATGCACCTTGGCAAGGGTGACCTTGGGCAGACGTTGGAGTCGAAATGCGAGGGGCTGATTCCCCGTGCTTGGACGCAAGGGTAGAATGACTGGAGTTTGGGTTGGCCCCCCTTGCCATGAGAAGCTCCTTCCTTTCTGTTATGTTTTCCTTGCTCAGTAAGCTATACTGTGTTTTTCACTGTGTAGGAGAGCAGTGTATGTTACTGGAAGCGCTGCTTGTGCTAAGGCAGGCAGGACAGGAATTGGGGACCATTTTACTTAGCTCTGCGGGACATCTCCTCATCTCCTCCCTGGCGTCAGCATGCCCTCGTCCTGGGAAACCGCGCCGGCAGACACGGCTGTGCCAGGGGGCTTTGCCTGAGCACATCCCCTGCCTGCGGATCGGCTTTCTGGGCAGCGCCGGTCGGGTCAGCAGCCTCCGAGAGCATGGCTGGAAGAAGGAGGCGGCAGGCACTCCTCCTCCTCCTCCAGGCACTCTCCCACCAGACCCACTTCCCACAGGCCCACCAAGAAGTCTCTGTCCTGGGGTCGTTCTGGTGGGCCAGCACAGAGGTGGCGAGGAACTGAAACTCGCTGCATATGGGTCAAAGCCCACCGTTTTCCTAAGGTGCACCCAGTTTCTTGGTTGCTTGTTACATTGATTTCCAATCCAAGAGATGTCCAGTCTCTTTTCCTCAGCAGCGGCCGTGTAGAGGATGCCCTTTGGTCTGGAAGGGTTTCTCCTGGCCAGGACCACCCCTAGTACCCCTGTTAGGAGTAGAGGCTTATTTGTGGTTCCAGCTGACACCAGGGTTCAGTTCCTGAGCCGTAGCATTTACCTGTAAATAGGCAATGAGCAGCTTCCCTGCTTCCTCTCACCAGCCCAAAGGCAGCTTCCCTGTTTTGCATGATTTTCCTTGGGTGCTGGGAGTATTCCCAAACCAGTGACCAAACATCCCCATGAGCTGCTTCCCAGCTGCTCCATCCCCTTGAGCGCGCTTTGTGTCCTGCTTGGCGCAGGGTTGCCGGTGGGATGCTGCCGTGGTCCTTCCCGTGCTGTCTCCTGACGCTTGCCTTGTGTGCGCATCCAGCGCCTGTCTGCTTCGTTGCTGAATGTAAGCCTGGCGCTCACTGGACACACGCGTGTCGTGTCAATGGTGCTTCCGCTCCCTCGGGCTTTGGCGGTGCCCCAGCTGCTCGCTCCTGTACCCCTGCTTTCAACAGTGGCGCATAAAAGTGGCTTTAAAAAACCCCAGTGCTCTCAATGCCTAGACTGTATTACGCACATCGGCATCTCAGGGCTTTTCGAAGCTACAGTGAGCCCTTTCTGCTGCACCCTCTCGCAAGCAGCCGGGAGGTGTGAGCAGCACCAGAGCAGAGCGCAGTGTGGTTTTGTGATCAGGTAGCTAAGAGAGCAGGTAAGGCACAGCTGCGAGGCAGCGAGTCCGAAGGAGGGGAGAGGTGCCCTGATGAGCCAGAAGGGCTGTGACTGCTGGGAAGCCTCTCCAGCAGCCTGCAAGCTCAGCTGCAGGCAGTGCCCCATCAGCCCCGTCTCCTGCTGCCCTTCAGTGGCTTCGTCACCTCCTGGGGTGGCTGTCCCAGAGGTGTCGGGCCAATGGTTCCCAAAATGCCTTCCCCTCTCGGGGCTGTGCTTTGAGGACCCCTTGAGGCTGTCGGTTTGGGAAGCACCTGGGCTCCCACGGACGCGGGTGGCTCTGGCGGTGGCACCCCCAACGCTGCACGTGGACGCTGCGCAGCGCTGGCGCCCGCAGCACCCGTCCCGTTGGAAACGCTGGCTGTTGCGTCCCCCACACTGCTCGTGCACGGTCAGCCTGCGGGACAGAGCTGGGGTCTGTGGGAAGAAAGTAAGCCGAGGGAGTTTGGGCTTAAGTCTGACATGTGAACAATGGAGGGAAGCAGCTTATTAGAAACGTATTTCATTGTGACCTTTTAAAGTAATTTGTCACACGTGTGTCTGTGCTGGTTTTTCCTCCTCCGTGCGCAGAGCTGAACGCTGGGGACCTGCGGTGGAGCGGCTGTAGGGTGTTCGGTTGTGCTGGTGGAGGGCTGTGGGGCACAATCCCTGCTCCCGGTGCCGCAGGAGCAACCAGCACCAACAGTCAGGAATGCGGGATTCACGGAGCGCAGCGTGGCAGGGCCCTTGGGCATCAGCCGTGGAAGCTGTTTTGTCATGTAAAAGCGTAGATTACTTCCAGTGTTTATAAAGTTTCCGTGAAGTAAAAAAAAAGAAGAGTCTAAGTGTGCTTTTTTCCTACTTTAAACAATGTCCCAGTGTTGCGCACGCTGCAGCCATCCTCTGCTGCGGGGATCCCAGTGCTGGGGTCCCGCGGGCAGGGCAGGAGCCGTCCCAGCACCCCGGGGACGCCGCCAGCCCTCCCTGCGCGTCGCCATGTGCGCAAGCGCGGCTCGGGGCAGCGGGTTTGCATGGGGGCGCGTTGTTCTGCCTGTCAGAGAGAGGCATGTTTGATTGATAGCACGTGGGTTTTTTAAATGTTTTCTCATTTTTAATTTCAGCTCAGCTTCTTGTTCATCTGCCTCTGTCAGCATAAGCACCTTTCTACTTATTTATGGTTACTGCAGACACAGCGCCGGCTTCCTCCCATCTGTCTGGCATCTTGTCCCCCTCCTCACATCTGTTTTCCCATCCCTCTCAACTCTGACGTCGTGATGTTGTGTTGCGTTTGGTTTTCAGGCTTCTTGCTTCTTGCTTTTCTTTACCAAAAAGGCCTCTCCCTGGAGAAAACAGCGCTCTCTCTTAAATGGGAGTCTTGTAACCTGCTTTTGAGCCTGAATTTGTGGAGAAGTGCCCGACCCAGGCGACCACGCGGGAGCTCGCCGCAGCGCGCGAGGTGCCGGAGAGGGTGGGCGTCCTGGGGCAGCGTGGGGCGGGCGAGCCGCCCTCTGCGCCCGCCGGCCTGCGTGCGCTGCCCTCCCCGAAGAGGAGACGCAGCCTCTTCCCACGAGGTTTCCTAAATACACCACTCGCTGCTTTGTTGAGGGATTTATTATTTTTTTTTTTTAACCTAATAGCATTTAGATGGAGAAGGCTGCCGCTCAGGAACTGCCCCAGCAGTTTGAGATGAATGAATTCAGCTCTGGTGTCTCTGAGGGTCTTCAGCCGAACGATGGGGAGCGTTCTCACCTACGCCCTTTTTAGGCTGCTAATTGCTGTACTTTTCTCAGTATCCTTGCTGCAATTGTTTTGTACCGTCCCAGCCCTAGTTCAAGGGTGCTGAGCTTTGCAGCATGAGCCCCAGGTTTGCAGGCTCGGAGCAGGTCTGTGCCTTGCCCCAGCTCCGGGCCCCCGAGCGAGCGCCCGGCTGGGCACCGTCCCCGCCGAGCACGGTCCTGCCTTCTCGTTCCTGCACGGCATCGCAGCGCAGGGCCTGGGACCCCACTTGCAGCGGCAGGAGCAGCCCGCGGCAGCAGCACACAGCGCTCCCCGGCTCCCCCGCGGGGCGGCTGGGCATGGGGGGCCTGCCCCCCAGCACCCCAAAGCCACCAGGAATGGAAAAGGAGTCCCTGAAGCACCTTCCCCACAGCAGGATTTACTACAGCTCCGTGCATTTTGACACTCGTGGCCTTTCTTCTCTTACCAAAGAAGAAAATCGCTCTCGTGGCAGGGAGCATGAGTGAAATGCTGCTTTCTTCATAGCTGTGCTCTGCTGTTAGCGGTGGGCGAGTGCTGGCCAAATCGCACAGTTCATGCATGAGGCTCATGGCACATAACGTGCAAGGCTTCCTTTGCTCCCTTTTTGTTTTTCCCCATCTCTTCAGCTGGAAAGACTAATCCTAACAACGTAAGCTGGCAGGAGCCCACGGTCCCGATCAGATTACCACAGCGCAGGATGGGCCAGGGAGCCTGGCAGAGACCTCCTCCCCAGCGTCTCCAGCCGCATGTGCAGCTCATTACAGCATGAGTGCTCGCAGGGTGAAACCGCTCCCTGGCGAGGCTCAGAGCAAATCCCTGCCTAGGAGAGCTCAGCAGGTAGGCGGGCGCTGGAGCCGGGGCCATCGGCTCGGCCGTGGGGTGCACCCTCCGGCACGGGGGCCCGAGAGGGGCCGGGGAGGGCAGGAGCGGGCAGGTGGCTCCGGCAGGCGCTGGGACATCGCCTGGAGATGCTCCATGGCTCCATGGGTCCTGCCTGCCCCCGGCACAGGCAATGGCATGAGCCTGTGTGTGTCCTTTTATAAATTAA